ATGGGCATTTTTTAGATGCTTTTTAAACTGGGATTTTGGTTGTTTGTCTTTCTTAGTAAGCATTTGAAAGATCGCATACCAACTTAATACTGTTCATTATCAGAAAATGCATACGTAAGATTTACTAATTTACAGGGTTATGGCAGATGAGCTCACCAACTCCCGAGCAGTGTTACAGCGTCAAAGCCGTGATGCGCAGAGTGCGATACAGGATCTCCTGAGTGAGCGGGAACAGTTTCGCCAGGAAATGTCAGCTACACAGAAGTATGGCACGTTTTTATATTCTGACCTGCTCTTTCCTGCAGTATTTGTTATTGTGGTCTTTCTGATATTGTTTAATGTGTCTCCATTTAGTAACTTACTGGAAGACACTCTGAGAAGAACTTTGCAGTAGATGGTACGGGGTGAAAGGGGGGACTTAAAAAACAGAAGACTTGAATTTTTTTCTCCAACATTCTTCAGTAGGGAGACCATTGTTTATGCACTTGCAGAAATGTATGGATTTTAAAGTAGTTTTTGATTACTGTTGTTGTAGTTTTATATAGTTGTTAGTAGAAACCAAAGACTGTATGTACCTCTCTCCCTTAGTGGGAAATCTTTTTAAGGACTATGCCAATACCATTAGAGCTTGCTTTTTTGGCCATATGTTCCAGAACTATCGAAATGTTAGTCTTCAGTAAAAGCTCTTTGTATTTCTATATAATTGATTTCTTACAAATCAAATCATCAATAGTTAAAAGAAGAGTTATAATTCACTAATTTCTTATGTTAAAGTAAATATGAGAACTGAAAAGAATACTATTTGCTGAATGATTTCCAGATACTATTAGGTTGAGAAGTGCTTTATGTAGTTGTATGTCTGTAATCAAACTTTCTGGTTTATGAGAGAAGGAGGAGAGAAGTTACTATTTGACTGCAGATATATTTTTTTAATGTTACTGACTTAGAGCATTTTATCCTCTTATTAACATTCAGTGTTTGTATGTGTTCTACACAGATTTTTGGAGGAGCTCTTAGTCTCCTTGCAGTGGGGAAGGGAGCAAACTTACTACCCCAATGCGCAGCCCCACAGCACAGCAGAACTAGCATTGATCAATCACAAGTTGGCAAAAGCAGTGAATTCCCATCTTCTTGGAAATGTTGGCGCTAACAATCAAAAGAAGATTTCTTC